TTTTCCTCTCGACAATTTATAGTAAACACTTTGTGACAATACATACATTTCTACATCATTTGCTGTATTTCATAAATATATCCATGGTTAAATTAATAATACCCTATTGCTAGCATTTGAGATTGCTTTCAATTTTTCATTATTATGAATACAGCCATGTGTCACTTAATGACGGGGATATGTTCTGAGAAATATGTCTTGAGGCTATTTCATTGTTGTGCGATCATAGAGTATACTTACACAAACCTAAATGCTATAGCCTCCTACACACCTAGACTATATGGTACTAATCTTATGGGACCACCATAGTATACACAGTCTATCACTGACTGAAACGTCATTATGCAGCGCATGACTGTAACGCTATGATCAACAATCTTACAACCGAATCTTTGCATGTCTTTCATTATTTCCTTAATGCAAATCTCCAGCAGTGGAGTGCCAGGTCAATATTTTTTATGGGTGATTTTGATCACTGGCTGATTTTTGAGAAGAGTAATACCAATTTATAGTTATACCATCAGGCTAGGATGGTATCCACTTCCCTAGACAAACAAGGACAAATCCTTCAACAAATATTTACTAAGTGCCTACTAAGTGCTAGACGCACTGTGCTAGCTACTGCTCTCACCAGAAGTGGACACTGTCATCCTTTTTTCCTTTAGCAATTTAAAAATGGTATCTTAATGTTTATTAAACCTGCTTTTGTTATTGTTGCTGTAATTTGTATTTCATCTTTTAGGAATTATCTGTGTATCTTCTTTGCCCATTTTTCTAAGGTGCAGTTGCTTTTTTTTGCTTTTTTATTAAAATTTTTATTAAAATTTTATTAAACAGCTTTTATTAAAATTTTTAAATGTTTTTAACATGTTGCAAAAATTTTTCCATTCACTTAAACAGTATTTATTGAGGGCCCACTATGTAACAGGCACTGTTCTAGGTGCCGGGGAAACAGTGGTGACCAAGAAAAAAATCTTTGTTCTCACAAAGTTTACATTCTAGCGTCTCCTGTCACTTTCCTTTTAACTTTGCAGTATTTTGGGAAGTTTAGAAGGTTTTAAACTTTTATGAAATCAAATGTATTCACCTTTCATTTTAGGGTTCCTGCCTTTGATGTCCTGCTTACGTATTATTTTTATAGTAAGGAAAACTTGTAAAAAGTAAGACTAAAAAAGTTTGACATCTCCAAAGTCCCAAAGTAACCCCACCCTGATTTAAAAACAACCGCTCACATCTGTGTCGACCCACTGGCGAACATCCATGGGTGCAGCTGTCATGTCATCTATTTTGTACACAACGTTGGTTGGAGCCTTCTCTGCATGTCTGATTATACCCACAATAGTAACCTAGATCAGAAGAAAAAAAAAGAATTTGGCTTTCCTGGAAACCAAGGCAACATTTATGGATTTTTAAATGAAGTAAGTTTTATTTCATTCTTCATATGATTAGGTGACTCTTCCATAAATTATTTCACATACCTGTGAAATCTCAACATTCCCAATTTTGAACACTTCATCAACCAGAGTGGCAGAAAGCAGCTGAGATATGGTACAGGGCACAATATGTTGGGCACGGGCTCTCTGAAAAGAAAAAGTATGCATAAACTCAATTAAGAAAATAGTAACTAACACTCATTTAACACCTGCTATGTGCACTTTACATATATTATAACACTGAATCTTCAAAATAAACCTCATTATCCTTGCTTCAGAGATGGAAACGAGGGTCATATAGCTAACAATAATGCCACACTTTAGAGTTCAAACCCAGGTCTGTCTGACTCCAAAGCTCCTAATGAATGGGTGAGTTTGTGTTGCATTAGGGATTCACCAAAATGAGTAGGCCAGCACGGGGAAAGCATAAGGAAGGATGACTTGCCTCCAGACCTTTAAAGAGGAAACTCCAGTTTTAGGAAGAAGGTAAGCTGGAGCTGGCTGTTCAGGTCACCAATGAGATGAGATATTTGGAAAAGGTTTGAGCAATGGCCAGCAGAGACAGAACTCTGGAGTTGCTCTAAGTCTTGTGATAAAATACAACAAAAAGTTAGAGGTATAGTTCCCTTAGGACAGATGTTCTGACAACAGATACAAGTCCTGGGGGAAATGGGATAAGTGCTCAGCCACACTGGACATCTTAAAGGGAAGGGAGAGGATGTGACAGGCAGAAGAGTGTTTAGTGAGGACACTCAAGTCACACCCTAAAGCAGCCTACCAACAGTGCAAACTCTTACTGTTGCCTACCACTGGCCAGGGGTTGTCTGGGTGACATAAACATAAGAAAAATGGGATAGGATTTGCCCTCAACATACTCTTTTAACCTAGGGGAGGTAAACATAAGAAAAATGGGATAGGATTTGCCCTCAACATACTCTTAACCTAGGGGAGGTACAAATGTAAGTTAACAAACCTGGTCTTGACACTATGGATGAGATTTGCTGTGTGGGATCTTAGAAAAATTTAACAGTACTTTCGAGAAGAGGGAGCATTTGGGCTGGACTCTGAAGCATGAAAATTTTGACAGTGAAAAAACAGTGGGTAAGGAATGGACATTATAGGCTGAGGGCAAATATGTACTCCCACAAACTCATAGAGGGAATATGTACAAGGCAGAAAATGCATGGTGGATTAAAGATCAGAGTCCCGTCAGAAGTCAACAGGAAGTAACCCAATAGCTGTTCTACACGTAAGAGAGAAAAGAGTAGACTCCTGGCCTTCATGGATTTAACAGTCGCAGCTTTGCCCTGAAGGTCCATGACACTAGCAACATCTCACTTTGCTGAAGCATCATTCTGAATGGTGAGTATTGCCAGGATGGTATAAAGTAAGCCTAGCCAACCACCAGCACAGGCCACAAAAGGCAGCAGCCACACTTGGGGGTTAAGATTATGGCTCTACCACTCAGGAGCAATGTGTTCTCGGTCACATTTCTCAACTCATCTGTACCTCAACGCCCCTGAATTAACAGTTCAGGTAAAAGCTTATCATCTGTAAAACTAGGAATGATAAAATCATTATGAAAATTAAATATACGGTGAAATACCTAGAATACTACCCAGTACATTGTAAGTACTCAATAAATGTTAGTAATTATTATGTCAGCTATTGACCCTCACTCTTTATATCTTCAATAGCTTTTAATAAGGATATGAAGGAATCAACTACGTTTTTAAATTTTACTTTACGGTATTTTATATGTGAAGTTATATGATATATTAGTATTTACAGATTTGAAATTTGCTGAGGTCCCATGTTTTAGCTCTCATTCTCTACTATATGTTATGTTTTCACCTATCACAAGTGAGATTTTCATCATATTTTCAGCATAAGAAAACTAAGAACCACTATGGTTAACAGGAGCAAGAACAATGGCTTTGGAGCCAGACAGTTCTATAGACCTGTGTTCAAATCCCAGCTCCACGGCCCTGGACACACCACCACCTCTGTGTAAAATGAGGATATCCACCTTTCAAATTGTAAACAAAACATATCATGTATATAAAAACGCTAATGCCAATCTCTACATGTAGTATGTATTCAACAAATATTACTCCTCAGGTAAAAAAGTTAGATATAATGATTGAGGTGTTAGCAATACCTTCAAATTCATCTCAAATCACAGATATTTCTTTTTTTTTTAATGAGCACCTATTATGTGCCAGGAACTGATTGCAAGGAGTTCCTAGTTTGTTCCAAAAAGATTCACAGGGAATGTACCAACACAAGTATGTTTAATTTTGAAAAAGATTATTTTCTAGCTGACTATGAACACAGGCTACTGATAGTGCTGTATGAAACCATCATTTTTATAGGTAAAAAATGGTCAGTATTGGAAATTTCACATGGTTCAGTAAAATATAACAGGTTTATAGTCCATAGGAAACATTTTAGATAGGGCATTTATCTAACCTGCTATGGAAAAGGCACTAGATTTAAAAACAAAAAGATCTGAGTTTGAGTCTCCAGTTTATAACCATCATCATCTGAAAAGCTGTCTTAATACACTGCCCAAGCTAGGGATTCTGAGACAAAAATTCTAACAGGAAGGAAGAAGGGAGAAAAGATGAGAATCAATCATCTATCTTTTGTTTTCTCCTTCCTCTTTCTTCCTCCTCAAGGAAGACAAAGTTAGAGGACTGGAGTCCCCTCTGGTCTTCCTGAGAAAAAGAAAACTACAATAGACAGAAGAAGCTGCTCACCAGATTTTGGATCTGCTCAGCATTGTGTGTGCCCCGTCTGGTTCCAGTTACTTAGCAGCCATCTGAGCTTAAGCAGTCCCTTAATCTCCCTGAGCCTCTGTTGTACAATGCAGTAAACAATCAACACCTTATGGGATTATATGAAATAATTTATATGAAAAATATAAAGCAACATCCAAATGTATGGGAACTATCAATGAATTCTTTCCCACCAGCACACGCCCCTGAATTAACAGTTCAGGTAAAAGCTTATCAACCTGTACACAAAACACAGAACCTGCTAATACTGAATCTGATTGACACCCAAAGAGACGACGAATCAACCCTGTATTTAAAGGATGCGATCAACAGCAGTTGTTAAATGCAAACTCATTTCTGCAAGACTGAACACCAAGCATTCGGACAGGTTTTTCCAGATCACTATCCTATACATTACCTTATTTATCAATTCTCAGAAACACCCTGTGATAGAAGTAGTACCAGCACCATTACCAGACGAGCAAAACCCAGGGCCACAGGGTTCTAGGGGCTTCACTAAGCTCACAATGCCAGTCAAAATGCAAAGTTGATTCTGGAGACTATGTATTCTGGCTCCAATGCTCGTGTTCTTTTTATTTCTTTGTTTTATTTTCGTGTTCTCTTTAATAAAAATATCTGGGACCATTTACTGAAAGCGACTGTACCACAGGCATTTTATATATATTAACTCTCACAACAACCTTGTAAGGTATGTATTATTAACCACATTTAGTAGGTAGAAAACTGACTCCCAAGAAAGTTAAGAAATTTGTCCAGTGACACCCTGTAAGTCGAGTGTCAGAACCACAGAATGTAGATCTAGTGGACTTCCAAGACCATGCTCTTTCGACTGCTTTTTTATCACTCACTACATTTAATAAATAAAATTTGAATACTCGAAGAATGTAAAACAGGCGATTAATACAAGTCCAGTTTTTCCACAAGACTGATTAGCTATATTGGTAAATTCCAAAATAAAGCCAAGTTAACAGTGGATGCAAAATTAGGGGGAGATTTCGTTTTTCAAACGTACACCACTTAATTATGAGATTCGATAAGACAATAATTGATAATTATCTAAGCAGTTCATGTTTAACGCCCTTCGCGCCTAAATTTTCCCTCGTGGATGAGTTCGGAGGTTCAGGACAGGATAAAATGGAACAAAATACTCTTTCAACTTACTGATTTCTTTTCAGCCTGAGAAGGTGTCGGCGATCCAAAGCCCCCAGGGGACTGTGTGTAGCCGCCGGCTCCCCCATAGGTGGAGCTGCCATAGCTTTCATAGCCACCTGATTTTAAATAACAGTATTAGTATCTGGGCTGCTTTCCATGCTTCTGAAAACTCCGCAGGTCCCCTCAGGCTTCACGCCTCCCAGCCACTCCCAGCACCTCCCTAACTTTCCCCACCCCCTTCCCCTGGGCCCTACACGCCCCCACCTGCAGCTCCCGCGCCTCCCCCACCCCCGCCACACGCCTCTCCGACCCCCGCCCTTTTGCGATGCCCTTCTTGCGACTCTCATCCTCCTCCGCCCCACTCATTACTATTCCACATCTTGATCACGACTCCCTCAGGAAAGAGGCCCAGAACGTTCCGATCTGGTGGGTTCGCCGGACACCTCAGAACCCTGTCGCAGCCGCAGCGCTGTTATCTACTCTTCGCTGGCGCCACAAACACCTTCCCGCGAATGACGAAGCCAATCAGCGCCCCGAACGCGTCTCGCTTCAGCCAATCAATGCTCACGAATCCTACGCTTTTTCCGGTCTTCTCCGGTCACGCTCCTGAAAACGCGCACTCTGCTCCCAATAGAGCCGGAAGCCTGTGCGGCCATCTTTACTAAGGGCAAAACACGCTGCGCCACCGGAAGCAAGGTGCGGCGAGAAGCTGGCAGGGCGGTGTCTCAAGAAAACAACCAATCAACATAATACTTCTACATCTTGGGACATGTAATCCCACCCCTGTCCAGTGAGCGACATCTTACATCACTTCCTTCGGTGGGCGCCCTCCTGTTCCCGCCAAACTCTCTCCAATCAGACGACGCCTTAATCTAAGGGCCTGTAGTAGAATTCCTGCTTCGGCGTCTCCGCCCCGCAGTCGCGCGGTATTTGCGCATCCCAGGAACACAGTGTGGCTCTTGGGATTGCTTGTTCTTTGCCGTAAGGAGCCAGGTTCTCTTCTCGTATCTCCATCCGCTGGTCCTGATTTTCCCTAATAAGGCCGTAAGAAACCTTGACTCTTTTCCCCAGATGGCCTTTCAAAAGATCTGTGGATTCCCCTCACACCTCCCCGCCGCGGTCCCCTCGCAGTCTAATCCAGCTGCGCATCCTCCGTTCCTTCAACTATTCTTCATATACCATGGTTGTGCCTTTCCTATAGAGAGTAGAAGACGTCTGTTGGTTCCTTGCTTTAAATACTACTACAGTAGATTGTTACATCCCCCTTCTCCACGTTTATTTATTAAAAAATATTTATTGGGGCCCGCCAGGTGACGCAAGTGGTTAAGTGCACGCCCTGCGCTGCGGCTGCCCAGGGTTTGCTGGTTCGGATCCCGGGCGCGCACGGACGCACCGGTTGGCAAGCCATGCTGTGGTGGTGTCCCATATAAAGTGGGGGAAGATGGGCATGGATGTTAGCCCAGGGCCAGTCTTCCTCAGCAAAAAGAGGAGGATTGTCAGATGTTAGCTCAGGGCTGATCTTCCTCACACACACACACAAAAAATTTATTGATGCCTCTTTTGTTCCAAGTTCCGTGCTGGCCACTGGGATTCAATTGTAAATAAGATAGACATGGTCCCTGGGCTCCTGGTCCATTTTATTTTCTTTTTCTAAAGCTGCGAGCACTATCTTAAACATTTATTAACTCAATCCTGTGAGGTAAGTAAGTACAGTTATTATCCCCATTTTACAGATGGGGAAACGGAGGCACAGAGAGGCTGTTGTGGGAATTGGTGTTCAAGCCCAGGAAGTCTGATTCCATCAACCAATGTGGTTACTGTACCCTCTTGAACATCCTGGAATAGGGTCACAAACTCAAAGGACAAGTTGGGTCAGGCAGGAAAACTGTAAATGTATTGGGTTGGATAACAGGGAAAATAATTTTACTTTTTTCTCCACAGTAAGGAAAACAACCACACAAACGTAATGGTAAATAGTAATTGATGTAGAGAACGTGGACCCAGGTCATCCAAGTTTTTTTAGCAGATGCTGGAAATCTGGATTTTTATGTGAAGATTTCTGAATTTTAAGTGTTTATAAGTAAATTTTAAAACACTATGTAGGCCAAAGAAAAGATAACCTGTGGACCAGATGTTGCTTGTGTGCCATCTCTTTCCTATGTAAATTGTGTAAGCCTCCAGATCATGGCTGAGAAATAAACAAGATACAGCCGAGGACGAAAGCCTGAGGCTAACCAAGATGACATTATTATACTAAGCCAAGGGGGTTGAAATTTACATAGTCTGACAAGTAAGAGCATTTTATGACCTATAGGATAAAATGATTTAAGACTATTCTGGGAAATTCAAGATGTGGGTTCACTTGGGTTAATTGGCTTCATTTGGGATTCAAATAGTTATAAATTCATCTGTGAGGATCATACATTTAAAAATAAATCAAATGAGGGCCGGCCCCGTGGCTTAGCAGTTAAGTGCGTGCGCTCCGCTGCCGGCGGCCTGAGTTCGGATCCCGGGTGCGCACCGAGGCACCACTCCTCCGGCTGTGCTGAGGCCGCATCCCACATACAGCAACTGGAAGGATGTGCAGCTATGACAGACAACTATGTACTGGGGCTTTGGGGGAAAAATAAATAAATAAAATCTTTAAAAATAAATAAATAAAAATAAATCAAATGAAATGAAAATAACTGCAAAACATCAAAAAATTTTGCACATCTTTTCAAGAGCTTGATAATCTGATAAGTTGAGCAGAGGGCGCAGTTCTCAATCAACACTAAAATAATTGGTATTTACCTTTTGTGTGTGTGTGTGGTAGTAAATTCATCTCTCAAGGTTTAGTTTCATCAAGTTGAAGTCTTCCTGTCACACGATGGGATTTCCAAGAAGTCTTCCATTTCCACTCCACGTTGGCTGCTATCAGGAAAACCCACAGCAAGACTGAGAGGAGGAGAAATCACCCTTTAAAAACAATCTAGTGACACACCCATTAGGATGGCTACAATTAAAAAAGCAGAAAACACCAAGTGTTGACAAGGATGTGGAGAAATTGGAATCCTTGTGCACTGTTAGTGGGAATGTAAAATGGTGCAGCCGCTATGGAAAATAGTATGATGGTTCCTCAAAAAATTAAAAATAGAATTACCATATGATCCAGCAGTTCAATTTCTGGGTATATACTCCAAAGAATTGAAAGCAGGGACTCAGATACTTGTACACCCATGTTCATAGCAGCGTTATTCACAATAGCTAAAAGGTGGAAGCAACCCAAGTATTCATTGACAGGTGAATGGATAAACAAAATGTGGTATGGACATACAGTGGAATAATATTCAATCTTAAAGAGGAAGGAGATTCTGACGTATACTACAACGTGGATGAACCTTGAAGATATATATATATTTTTTAATAATTTTTATTTATTTTTTTTCCCCCAAAGCCCCAGTAGATAGTTGTATGTCATAGCTGCACATCCTTCTAGTTGCTGTATGTGGGACGCAGCCTCAGCATGGCCGGAGAAGCGGTGCGCCGGTGCACGCCGGGGATCCGGACCGGGGCCGCCAGCAGCGGAGCTGCGCACTTAACTGCTAAGCCACGGAGCCGGCCCTAACCTTGAAGATATTATGCTAAGTGAAATAAACCAGTCACAAAAGGACAGATATTGTATGATTCCACTTATATGAGATACCTAGAATAGTCAAATTCATAGAGACAGAAAGTAGAATAGTGGTTGCCAGGGACTGGGGAGAGAGAGAGAATGGGGAGTTATTGTTTTCTGGGTACAGAGTTTCAGTTTGGGAAGATGAAAAAGTTCTGGAGATGGATAGCGGTGATGGTTGCACAACAACATGAATGTAGTTAATGCCACTGAACTGTGCACATAAAATGGTTAAAATGGCAAATTTTATGTAATGTGTATTTTACCACAATTAAAAAAAACTTTTAAATCCACTCTGGTGTTTATTGAGTACATTCCACATGCCAGACACATGCATTATCTCTGTTAAATGCTTAATATGCATTATCTCCCAATGTTTTTGACTTGCCATTTTAACCTCCAAGATTGTTTTGCCTCCACTTTATAAATACATATATTTTAATCAGAACTGTCCCAACACTGATAAAATTTCACTTAGACTTAATTCCCTGTTCAACTTTCTGCACAGTGAGATTTAGCCATTTCTAATTTTTTCCATTTTTAATTTTGCTGAAATCATTTTTATGTGAATTAATTCTCTCCTGGGCAAACTTTACAATGAGGGTTTAATTCATCATTCAAATTTGATCCATACCAAATTTTACTGATTTTTCACATCTGCCACTGTAGTTTTATGGGTGCTCATTATTGCTATCAAGTACAATTTGATTCAGGAGTTTTTTTTGCAGTTTTCCGTGTTATACACCAGATGGGATTTTCTAAACTTTTTTTTTTGTCTAAGATAATTTTAGTAGGTGGAGTAGCCATTTCAGTTTTATATTGTATTGATTATTTCTACCAGTAATAATCACCATGAATTGGATAATATTAGAGAGGCTTTTATATGTGACACAGAACACTCACAATATTTGTTGAATGCTCGATTTATTCAACTCATAGCTAATAAAACTTGAAATCAATCTTTTCAGTATTTAAACATTGTTTACAAATTTAATTAAATATCCTTAAAATTTTAAACTGCAGTTGAAGTTTTAGTATGGCTGATTCTTATGAATACTTCCAATATCTTGAAGAGCAGATAAAACACAAAAATGGTGGATCATTGTGAAGCTACTGAAGTTAAAGCTTCAGGACCCTTCACTTGCACAGACTCTTCCCAGGCCCCTTATTTATCTAGATACATATTTACTTTTATACCTTACTTTGCATTCTTTTTCTTAAATAGGGCCATACCAATTGTATCAGCTTTGGGCCCCACAAAATCTGGAGCCTCCTGCCCCCTGCTTCCTTGGATCATTGCTTTATGTATTTATTTCACTGTCGTCCTAGGGTTTCTGTAATATTATTTTTACTCCTTTCTTGGCTTTCAAAAATCCAATTAGACTGAAATGAAAAAGAAATGTCATCTTAGTCCAATTGAGGTTATTGGATCTGGGTCTTCAACCAATTGATTCTTGGTCAGGACCCAAGACTTGCTCGTATGGTCCGAGGGGACTGTCACCAGGCCCCAGATGACCAGGCCGAGCTTCCTTTTTGTAATGTTTATAAGACTTTTTAAGGCATACCTTTCTCATAGGTTTTAGTTTTTTGCAACCTGATGTCTTTCCTCAAAATCAGGTTTTCAGTCTCACTTGGGCAGCATTATATAACCTGCTGTCCTGTTTGGTACATTGATGGGGATTTTTGCAATTTTGAACATTCATGTATTCCTATTAATACATGATTTTGTTATATTCATAGGGCCCCCTGAAGGCTTTACTTCCTAGAAGAAGAATTGAGTCTGTGGAGTTAGCAGGACTCCAGGATGGTTGGCTAATTAGTTCTCAGAGTGGGCTATTGTCCTCACCCTCTTCTTGGTTATTGTGCGTAAGCAGCCCAGCCCATTAGCCCTTCTTGTTCCGCCCCGAGTCCCCACTGTCTGAGACTATTTGACTTTCTCACAGGTCTGTGACTTGCTTTCCTTACCCAGATGGAAACAAGTACACACGTACACTT